GCCATGCTATGTACAGATTTAAATGTTAGTAGTAGGATCTTGTATATGATCCTGGTTTCTATTGGCAACCAGTGTAGATTTTTAAGAACAGGAGTGATGTGATTCCTTGAGGGGGTCCCAGTAATGATGCGTGCTGCAGAGTTCTGGAGAAGTTGGAGTTTATGAAGGGATTTAGTTGGGAGACCAAATAGAAGGGAATTACAGTAGTCGACGCGAGAGGTGATGAGACTATGAATGAGGATTGCAGCAGCATGAGGCGTGAGAAAAGAATGGAGTCTGTTGATATTGCGAAGATGGTAATATGCGACTCGAGTAACATGGTTAATGTGAGATTGGAATGAAAGTGAACCATCTAGTATGACACCAAGACTTTTTACCTGTAAGGATGGGTGAACTGTGGAGTCGTCAATATTGATAGAGAAGTTGGGAGAATTTTTTAAAACAGAAGCGGTGCCAAAGAGTTGGAGTTCCGTTTTATTGCTGTTTAGTTTAAGTAGGTTCTGAGAGAGCCAAGATCTAATTTCAGATAGACAGTTAGAGAGGGAGATTGGTGGAAGGGATGCATTTGGATTGGAGGAAATGTACAGCTGGGTGTCATCAGCATAACAGTGAAAATCAACGTTGTATTTGCGGAAAATGTAACCAAGGGGGAGCAAATAGATGATAAATAAAAGAGGGCCTAGAACTGAGCCTTGGGGAACTGCTGCAGTAACCGGGGAAGAACTAGAAGAGTGAGATTGAAGTTGAATGAACTGAGTACGATCCGATATGTATGCGGTGAACCAGGCTAGTGATATGTGACTAATGCCGATAGATGCTAATCTTTTGAGAAGTATGCTGTGAGAAATGGTGTCAAATGCAGCACTTAGATCTAGTAAAACCAGAATGGAGAGATGACCTGAGTCTGCTGCCATTAGTAGATCATTTGTGATTTTTACTAGTGCTGTCTCCGTGCTGTGTTGTGGTCTGAAACCAGATTGGAATTGTTCATATAGATTATGAGAATTGAGATATGAGTGAAGCTGAGAAGTAACACCTTTTTCAAGGATTTTGGAAAAACATGGTAATTTAGATATTGGATGAAGATTATCAAAGTTGGGGGGATCCGCACCGGGCTTTTTGAGAATCGGAGTAATACAGGCAGTGTTTAATGCTGCAGGAACAACTCCGGTACTGAGGGAAGAGTAAATGATGGTGGATATGAGAGGAACCAATGATGGAAGACAGGCTTTAAGTAGCATTGTGGGGAGAGGGTCAAGCAGACAGGTGGATGATTTGGATTCCCTGATTAAATTTGATGTCTCAGTTGCAGAGGGGAGACTGAAACTTGAGAAAAAAAGACTTGGAGTTGTAAGGATGGGTTCAACTTCTGAAACAGGATCTCTAGTAGCATGGAGTTGTTGGTGAATATTTGAGATTTTGGATGTGAAGAAGGACATGAGGGAGTTGCAATAGTCAGAGGAAACCATACTGTAAGCAATAAATCAGGAGGCTTTGTAATTTGGGAGAACAGAGGAAAAAAGGGTCTTGGAGTTACCTTCACTCGAGCTGATTAAATTAGAATAGTAAACTGATTTAGCTGTGTGAATGGAGTCTTTATAATGCAATAAGTGATTCTTATATAGATCTTTATGGATTGTGAGGCTGGTATTCTTAGACAAACGTTCCAATCTGCGTCCTTTGAATTTAAGACAGCGAAGGTCGTAGTTAAACCAAGGTGCTGAGCGGTTAAATGAGACAGATCTTTGCTTAGTTGGGGCAAAAGTATTGAGAATGTTATTTAGATTAAAATTATAGTTAAAAACAAGATCCTTGGGTGATGAGGTAATGTGAGCAGGCTGTAGATAAGATATTGCAGTGGAGAATGCATCAAGATTTATATTGTTGATTTTTCTAAAAGCAATATTGCGAGGGATATGGGTTTTAGAGGCCTTTATAGTTACATTAAACGTGATTAACTTATGATCTGAAAGAGGAAAAGAACTGGCTATGCATTGGGCCGGGGTAATACCCGAACAGCAGACGAGATCCAGAATATGGCCTTTGGAGTGAGTGGGGGAGTTGATATGCTGTTTGAGTCCAAAACTATCTAAACAGGAAGTAAAGTCTCTGGTAAGAAGATTATTTTCATCCATGTGAATGTTAGTCACCAGTGATTATCAGATTGGGAGAGAGTATGGAAAGGTGAGTGAGGAGAGCAGTAAAGTAATTTAAGAAGTCCTTATTCGGCTTAGGTGGGCAGTAGACAGTGCATATGATGGTAGGAGTGGATCCAGGGAGTTGTAATGCGCTGTATTCAAATGAGTGGAAGGATGGAGCAGAGACTGGAGAGACTTTCCACTGCTTCCGTGAATTACCGCGAGACCTCCACCCCTCCCTGACTCCCGCGGTTTACAGATGTAAACAAACTCAGGCGGAGTGGAGTTATTGAGTGAAATAAAGTCATTATTAGGGTGTTGCCAAGTTTCATTCAGGCAGAGAAAGTCAAGTTTATGGTCAGAAAGGAGATTGTGGACAAGATGCCCTTTTACCATAAGAGAGCGAATGTTCAGTAGGCCGAAGTTCATGGTGGAGTTGCCGTGTTTGACCGTATGCTCAGCCGACCTGGCTAGGTGGGCTAGCATGCGGTGGTTGGCAGTTCGGGTCTTTGTATGGGAAGGACAACGGGTTTTGGACCAGAAGGAGCTGACTGCGCCAGACTCTTGGACACAGAAACTTCGTTGGGATCCTCGATGAATTTATCTGCGGCGTGGCTGGAAGGCGATGTCTGGATGGAGATGCAGGGCCGCTGGTGGAGGAACCGGCAGGGAAAAGCGCAGCCATAAAAGTTTGTGAGCAGAATATTGAAGAAGAGCAGTCACTGGGTAGTGGACGATGGACAAGACGACCCAGGTGAGCACGGACCACACCCATAAGCCGTGGATCCACATCTTTGTTTGACTGTTGAGGCTGAGCGAGCGTGTTTAAGCCCCTCAGACAGGCAGTTATTTCAGTCAGATGGGAAGGTTTTCGAAAAGGTTCAAATAACAGTTCAGGTGGGCATCCAAAATAGCACAAAATAGCGTAAAAATGTATAAAAATGTATAAAAGTAACGTAAAACTACTAACAACCGGTGAGCAGCGGCAGCCAGACGCGCCAGCGTTCACTCACCAGGAAAGCAGAATACCTAATGCTGTCTGTTGATGTGTGTCTTAGTTATTCAGGTTAATGCATTTGCCTGTGGGCCATATTTCCATTCTGACTCTCTTTTTGCACACATCTATTTCCATACTGCTGAGCTATTATGGTTCAGTCACACTGATTTCTTTGGTATAAATGAAGCCAAAATGTCGGAAAAACTAAATCATCGTCAACATCACATGTCAACATGGTAGAGCCATTGTCAGTGATTTCTTTAAAGATCAAGTTTACTCATATTTTAATACATTTGCAGTGGTCTTTAGTATGAATGGATTACTTTTAAGGCATTATCTGAGGGGGAAAAATGCTCAGATGCTTCTGTTTGAGGATGTAGAAGTCACCCGGAGGAGAAAGTAGCTTCAGAAGGCAGGCTTTGGAGTCAAATTTCCTGATATTCAGGCATCTTGCCTCTGATTAGCTAACAGCAATGTGACTCTACCACTGACTCTGTTTGCTCTGCAATGTTGATGTTTTATCTCACAAATAACACAAGCATGGAGGAGTTCTGCTGTATTGTGGAGTTGCTAACGGTTATCTTCTACTAGTCGAGACATTCTCTTCTGATTCCTGCACTCTAAATTAACAACAGCCATCCCCGTCGTGTCCATGATGATGGATGAGTCCATGAACGTTAAGTGACAGTGTGACGTAGATCTGTCAGGCTTTTCAAATCCTCAAGTTTCACGTCTATTTTCTATCAGAAACGAATGCAGCAGATAGGTGGAGGAGACTGTTTTCATGTTCAGCTTGCATGAAAAACTCAGAGTGGCCAATCGTTTTCAAAGAAAATTAGAAAACCTGCTTTTTAAATCACATTCTATACATGCTGTATATGATATAATTTTCTGGGGTAGAATATTTGAACACATGAAAAGACGAATTCTAGCATCCAAATCAAGTCAAAATGAGACACAAATGTTCAGAAATTCACATCAGAATGTGCCTAAAGCTGTAAAATGTCTGGACTTGCGTTCCTCTGAATTATTACAACTAGAAGCTGCTTGTTTGCAGCAGCTTGTGAAAGATTTGTTAGGCAGCAGTCGCCCAGCTGTCCTACAAGTGATACAATGGGCCATTTCTACACAACTCCAGTCAGGATGAAGGATTGGGAATCATAGACCCTTTGCCATGTTCTGGGAGATGACCCAACAGCCTCCAGAAAATCGGTTTGGTCAGTCGCGTCTAAATCACAAACTAGCGACCAGCGTCGCAGCCTACTGTAGACTTCGGACAGACTTTAAAGGGAATGTTCCGTGATTGAATGAGAAAAAGTTAATGTGCATGGAGAAGTAAAAGACAGATATTCAATCTGAAAGATGCTTTAACTAGTGGTAGCAACATTATGGTTAGCTTTGCCATCAGCACCCTGCGCAAAATGAATCTGAACATGTTCACAACCAATCTGTTTCCATTATTTCTAAACGCTCAGTTAAACATTCAGAACTTGAACCAAATGCATAATAATAATGGGTTGGGTTTATAAAGCGCTTTCCTAGTAACTCAAAGCACTTTTCATTATTCAGGCAGTTTCACACACACTGTCAGTGATGGTAAGCTACTATCCAGCCACAGCCGCCTCTGACCGTGGTGAGGCTGCCGTGTTGCCATCGGCCCCTCTGACCACCACCATGACAGGCAAGTCAGGTGAAGTGTCTTGCTTTGTATATACAGTTTATATACACATGAAAGCTCATCAATTACTCAATGAAAATTTTACGTGTATGTCTTGTTATTGTCTGTAAAAAAATCTATGGGTCAAATAATCAACCAGAAGCAGCCAGTGAAGACAGTATTAGGGTTTTAATGGTGGCTTGGTTACCTGCAGGTGAGTGTTTCATGGTAGGGTTTGATGCTGGCGCTGCGATCCCTCCGAACCGGCCCAGGCTCGATGGTGGGTAGTCCTGTGGCGGAGGTGGTGGTTGTCCACGTGGAAGAAATCCTCCTCAGATGATGGAGACTCCGCCTCAGACGCTGCACACACATAAATATCTACTCAACCCAGCAGTACAAACAAATGCAGTTTTGTATTTAGACTGTAAAAATATTCCCATCTTTAGGATTTTAGCTGAGTTTTTCTCCAGTCAGATTCATTTTATGTTATTGTATGTTTTGTATTATTTCATTCAACAGCATATGTTTATCGTATTCCTCATTTAAAAAAAAAAATTGTATGCACCAGGAATATGGGGGAGTGCATATGCAATTTCATATTTTCGATGGTTTGAGATAAATAAATAAATAATAATAATAATAATAATCAGCTAAAAGTGACTCGTTTGTGATGTGTTTGGCTAAACCAGAGCTCATTTTACATGTTGAATCCTTTTTTACCTGACTTTATTCAAGGAGAACAAAAGCTGTAGTCAGGGTTAATTATGGATTATTATGGGTTGTGAGCTGCTGGTTTTATTTTTTTTATTTTTTATTTTTTTGTAAATTATCTTTGTGTTGTCTGCTCTGTTTCATTTCTACTTGACCTTTCCTTGTACATCTCCTTTAAGCCCCATGAGATGTCTATGATGCTGTTGTTACACTCCTGCTCAGACTCCATTAAAACCTGGTTGACTGGGAACTTCTCATGTCAGTTCTCTTTTTCGCTCTTCCTTCTTCCATCTCAGGAACATTGCAAAGCTGAGTCCCATTCTGTCCCGCTCTGATGTTCTCCACACCTTCATCTCCTCACGCTTAGACTACTGCAACTCTCTTTACACGTGTCTGAGCAGAACCTCCTTGAACCGTCTACAGGTGGTTCAGAATGCCTGTGCTCGGCTTCTGACCAAGTCCTCCAAACACACCCGCATCACCCCACTTCTCCTCCAGCTTCACTGGCTGCCAGTCAACTTCAGGGTTCATTTCAAGATCCTGGTTCTGGTCAATAGGGCCTTACATGGACAAGCACTGGTGATCTTCTCAGACCCTACACCCCCAGCAGGTCCCTGAGGTCCACTGACCTAAGCCTACTGGTTGTGCAGCACCAGGCTAAAGACCAAAGATGACAGATCATTTGCTGCTGTGGCCCCCAGACTCTGGAACTCTCTCCCCCTGAGCTAGAGATCAGTGGACTCAGTAGCCTCCTTTAAAAAGCAGCAGAAAAACTGTTCAGACTGGCTTTTCCACGACTTTCATCACCACCCTCTCCTTATTCTGCTCTTTCTACCCACCCCGCTTTTCCCGAGATCCACTTCCTATTCATCTTTCCTATTCAGTTTCTCTTTCCCTTTCCTTACATTTCTAATCTAATATTTTTCTCATTATAACCACATTCTTTAATCATTATTTTAAAAACTTTGTCTCCGTCTTCGTCTTCCTCCGCTTATCCGGGTCCGGGTCGCGGGGGCAGCATCCCAATTAGGGAGCTCCAGGCCGTCCTCTCCCCGGCCTTGTCCACCAGCTCCTCCGGCAGGACCCCAAGGCGTTCCCGGACCAGATTGGAGATGTAATCTCTCCAACGTGTCCTGGGTCGACCCGGGGGCCTTCTGCCGGCAGGACATGCCCGAAACACCTCCCCGGGGAGGCGTCCAGGAGGCATCCTGACCAGATGCCCAAACCACCTCAAATGGCTCCTTTCGATCCGGAGGAGCAGCGGTTCTACTCCGAGTCCCTCCCGAATGTCCGAGCTCCTCACCCTATCTCTAAGGCTGAGCCCGGCAACCCTACGGAGGAAACTCATTTCGGCCGCTTGTATCCGCAATCTCGTTCTTTCGGTCATTACCCAAAGCTCATGACCATAGGTGAGGATTGGGACGTAGATCGACCGGTAAATCGAGAGCCTGGCTTTCTGGCTCAGCTCCCTCTTCCCCACGACAGATCGGCTCAGCGTCCGCATCACTGCAGACGCCGAACCAATCCGCCTGTCGATCTCCCGATCCCTCCTACCCTCACTCGTGAACAAGACCCCGAGATACTTAAACTCCTCCACTTGAGGTAGGACCTCTCCCCCGACCCGGAGGTGGCAAGCCACCCTTTTCCGGTCGAGAACCATGGTCTCAGATTTGGAGGTGCTGATCCTCATCCCAGCCGCTTCATATTCGGCCGCGAACCTACCCAGCAAGAGCTGAAGGTCAGAGCTGGATGAAGCTAGGAGGACCACATCATCCGCAAAAAGCAGAGACGAGATTCTCCTGCCACCAAACTCGACACACTCCACACCACGGCTGCCTCTAGAAATTCTGTCCATAAAAGTGATGAACAGAACCGGTGACAAAGGGCAGCCCTGGCGGAGTCCAACCCTCACTGGGAACAGGTCCGACTTACTACCGGCTATGCGGACCAAACTCACGCTCCTCTGGTAAAGGGACTGAATGGCCCTTAACAGAAAGCCACCCACCCCATACTCCTGGAGCGTCCCCCACAGGGTGCCCCTGGGGACACGGTCATAAGCCTTCTCCAAATCCACAAAGCACATGTGGATTGGTTGGGCAAACTCCCATGCACCCTCCATCACCCTTGCAAGGGTATAGAGCTGGTCCACAGTTCCACGGCCAGGACGAAAACCACATTGCTCCTCCTCTATCTGAGATTCAACTATCGATCGGACCCTCCTCTCCAGTACCTTGGCGTAGACCTTTCCAGGGAGGCTGAGGAGTGTGATCCCCCTATAGTTGGAACACACCCTCAGGTCACCCTTCTTAAAGATGGGGACCACCACCCCGGTCTGCCACTCCCTAGGAACTGCCCCCGATGACCACGCAATGTTGTAGAGACGTGTCAACCATGACAGCCCTACAACATCCATAGCCTTGAGATACCCAGGACTAACCTCATCCGCCCCCGGGGCTCCGCCGCTGTGTAGATGTTTGACTACCTCAGCAACTTCTGCCCCCGAGATCGGACAGTCCTTCCCCAGGCCTCCCAGCTCTGGTTCCTCCTCGGAATGCGCATTGGTGGGATTGAGGAGCTCCTCAAAGTATTCCTTCCACCGTCCGACTATAGCCTCAGTTGACGTCAGCAGCTCCCCATCCCCACTGTAAACAGTGTGAGCGAGTTGCTGCCTTCCTCTCCTGAGGCGCCGGACAGTTTGCCAGAACCTCTTTGGAGCCGATCGATAGTCTTTCTCCATGGCCTCACCAAACTCCTCCCACGCCCGAGATTTTGCCTCGGCAACTGCCACTGCTGCACCCCGCTTGGCTATCCGGTACCTGTCTGCTGCCTCCGGAGACCCACAGACCAGCCACGCCCTGTAGGCCTCCTTCTTCAGCCTGACGGCTCCCCGAACCTCTGGTGTCCACCAGCGGGTACGGGGGTTGCCACCACGACTGGCACCGGCCACCTTACGACCACAGCTAGCAACAGCCGCCTCGACAATCGCAGAGTGGAACAAGGCCCACTCGGACTCAATGTCCCCCACTGCTCTCGGGACGTGGTCAAAGCTCTGCCGGAGGTGGGAGTTGAAGACCGTCTTGACAGGTTCTTCTGCCAGGCGTTCCCAGCAGACCCTCACTATGCGTTTGGGTCTGCCAGGTCTACGCGGCATGTTCCCTTGCCATCTGATCCAACTCACCACCAGGTGGTGATCAGTTGACAGCTCCGCCCCTCTCTTCACTCGGGTGTCCAAAACATACGGCCGCAGGTCAGATGATACGACTACAAAATCTATCATCGACCTGTGACCTAGGCTGCCCTGGTACCAAGTGTACCGGTGGGCATCCTTATGTTCGAACATGGTGTTCGTTATGGCCAAACTGCGGCTTGCAAAGAAGTCCAATAACAAAACACCGCTCGAGTTCAGATTAGGTGGGCCGTTCCTCCCAATCACACCCCTCCAGGTCAAGCTGTCATTGCCCACGTGAGCACTGAAGTCCCCCAGCAGGACAATGGAGTCCCCTGATGGAGCACTATCTAGCACTCGTCCCAGGGACTCCAAAAAGGGTGGGTACTCTGAACTGATATTTGGCCCATAAGCACAAACAACAGTCAGGACCCGTTCCCCGACCCGAAGGCGCAAGGAAGCTACCCTCTTGTCCCCCGGGGTAAACCCCAACACACAGGCAGAGAGTCTCGGGGCTAACAAAAAGTCAACCCCAGCCCTCCGCCTCTCACCCGGAGCAACTCCAGCAAAGTAGAGTGTCCAACCCCTCTCCAGGTCTCGGGTTCCAGAGCCAATGCAATGTGTCGAGGTGAGTCCGACTATATCTAGCTGGTACCGCTCAACCTCTGCCACAAGCTCCGGCTCCTTCCCTGCCAGCGAGGTGACGTTCCATGTCCCAAAAACTAGTTTTCTTGTCCGGGGATTGGACCGCCAAGGCTCCCGCCTTGGTCTGCCACCCGATTCGCATTGCACCGGACCCTTCATGTTCCTCCTGCGGGTGGTGGGTCCACAGTTGGACGAGCCCATGTATCCGGTTCGGGCTGGGCCCGGCCGGGCCCCATGGGCGAAAGCCCGGCCACCAGGCGCTCGCTCACGGGCCCCAACCCCAGGCCTGGCTCCAGGGTGGGACCCCGGTAACCCTCCGGGCCGGGTACTCCGACTCTTCGTTTTAACCGCCATGAAAGATCCTTCGAACCGTTCTTTGTCTCACCCTTCACCTAAGACCAATTTGTCATGGGAGACCCTACCAGGGGCACTAAGTGCCCCAGACAACATAGCTCCTAGGATCATTAGGGCACTCAAACTCCTCCACCACGATAAGGTGACGGTTCAAGGAGGAGTTTAAAAACTTTGCTTTTATATTTTGCATTTTTTGTTCTAGTGAAGCGCCTAGTATTTTTATCTTGAGAGGCGCTATATAAAATATTGTTTTATTTGGATTCCCACAGGTCTGTGCTCTTGCGCTGCCTCCATCTGTTTGGTGCCATGAAGCAGTTTGGCAAAGCAGCACTGAGAATAACCGTCTCTCTTTTCCACCGTCGTCTGCAGGGTGACCTAGTAAAACTGCCTAAGAATTCTGAATGAACCCATTCACAACATTGCATCATGAGAGCTTGCACACAAACACTCACTTTGGTACAAGATGCTGGTTTATGTCATGCACTGCACTGAAACGCTGTAAAGAAAAACAACTCACAAAGCAAAGGCCTCAGCTACCTTTCTACACACAGGGCTATGGCATTGTCAATGGCAAAGTATTGGGAAAATAAAGAATAAAATCAAATTGTTGTGGATCATTTAAAAATAATTATCCATTATTGGCGTGTAGACTGTTCCCGAGAGGCTTCACTGACTTATTTGCTTTTTTAATTTCATGGGTAAATAAACCTAAACATTATTCACAGGCCAGTTAAGCTGCATGTGGCGCTTTCTGATAATGGATCATGATGACATCATGTATAGATCTGTGTAGTCCATTCAAGTGCAGATAAATTAATACAAAAACAAAATGACCTCACCCTTACAATGCTGCAGAATACCTTTCATAGAAATCCCAAAAAGTCCTAAAAGACCAAAAATAGAATATTCTTAAACTCTGTCATCTCTGAGTCATCCCTTAACTCAGTTGCAACGACAAATCCCCAGATAGGTGGAGACCCAAATGAGACAACCTCAAAGAGAAGCTCTAGAAGAAATGCAAGCCTATAAGGATGAGATTACATTATGTGCAGATATTGTATATTTTTGCTCGAATGTGTCTAAATCATCCCAGAAAATCGTGTCTAAAGTATATAGGTCTAGAATCTTTGGGAGAGGCCATGCTCGGGGTCCTGCGCCTGTCGATGACATCACACTAGATGACTGGCTGAACGTACGACTTACGGAAGTTACGTTACCACGTTCTTAAACATTTAAGAAGCATACATTTCATTAAAAAAATGGCTAAACTCTTCCCAAAACCTATGTGAAAGAACAAAATCGAAAAAGAGGTGCAAGATATTTTGGCCGAGTGGTATTGCCGTAGTATGATGACGTCATCAGCAGGCGCAGGTCCTCGAGCAGATCCAGAAGCAGCACCAGAAAACTAGCATCGGCATTGCATTCTCTCGATGGAATCAAAGTCTGAGGAGTCACACTGAGGTTGCATGCTTTCTGCTCTACAAGTGACAACATTTACTGTAATTTCTTTATTTATTTTTATTTTAGCTAGCGACAGTCACGGCAATATGGTGTAAAATTACCCTGATATGTATGTACTGCTCCCTAGCTCCAGGAAAATACACACTACTACTTTAATAAAATGATTATGTGAATTTACTTTGCACAAGACTAAGACAAATGAGATTTTAGGATTGTGAAAAAGGTGTGATGTGCCACAGCGAGACCCAAAAAGAGAAGAAAAACAAAGCCTAATTCTTTGTACATTTGGATTTGAACACTCAAGGTGAGAATGACTGCTGCTGTACCTTGTTTTCACAATTTTTGTGAAATCCAGAAGAAGTGAAATGACATCTATCAGACGAGCACTATGCTTGATGATCGTGTCAATCACCACCTACGATCCAGCCTCCACAACGGAAATCGTTAGCAAATCAGGAGCCAGATGCAGATGTACAGTGGGAGTTGAGTTTTGTTGACACATTCTCATCCCTCTTTATAACTTTTTGAGAAATGTATCCAGCTGTGTGTTGCCTCCCTCACGTTTCTCCTCTCATCACACACACACACACACACACACACACACACACACACACACACACACACACACACACACACACACACACACACACACAGTCATGTTGACACAGCTGTGGCTGTGAAAGGGAGAACGCTGCTCCAAGCAGTAGATGTGCTCTATTTTTTTTTCACTCAGCTCTTTAAGAATTACGCTCTTTCATTTGATGTCAGAAACTCCGAGAGCAGGAACCCCTTCTTTGCTGAAACAAGGACTAAAAGATTAACATGTGTAGAGAGGGCTGCTTGATACATTTGACCTCATTAAGGTGGACTGTTTGGCCATTTTAGGATTATTTCAGCTGTTTCTAAGTAAAACAATTTTGATTCTGGCTTTTGAATACTGCTGAGTAACAATTCTGACCTTTAATATTTTGGTAAATTATGTTCTTTTTCATGAAGGCGTCTCGGAATCTTGTCAGTGAGGTGTAAATCAAGACAATCCTTCCTGACTGAATCCTTTACCTTGTGTATGGATGTCTTCTCTCCCTTCTCAGGTCCCTCCTCTGAGTCAGAGCAGGTGTAAGCATCGCTGGGGTTGAGCAGAGGAGCAGGGCGTGGTCGGTGCAGTGGCTGGAACGTGAGCTGGGTGGTTAGCAGGCTGCTAACAGCCCGCAAGGATGTGCAGGTGTGAGCTGGTAACGAAGGGTCAGCAAGCAGGTCTGTGATCAGTCCATGGGCCTCTCCCATCACTGCTATGTCCACCATGACGGTCGTGCCTGATGACTGCATATTGAAAGAGAGAAAAGTGAGAAATAAACGCTTCATCTTCTGCAGCTAGGGGTTTGGTGCTAATTAAAGGCTGGGTCTGATAGTGACGGGCGTGAGGAGCAGGTGTGTAAACTATGTCACCATCTCCCCAGTGAGGCCATACTCTAGATGACTGTGACACTTGCTAAAAGTTGAACCCTTGCTGTATTGTCACTTCAATATTCTCCTCATCTGAATAAGTCTGATTTTTTTTACCTTAAAACAAGAGAATTGATGGCATGTCTCCTTTCTGCCTTCAACTTATAATGAAACTTGGAAAATGTATATTTTTCCAATTATAACATTGCAGAGCCAAGGTGTTCTTTAAAAATATACATAAAAGTATCTTCATTTAAAGTTGGGCATTTTGGATGATAACACTGACAAATGGTGGCGTTGAACCAAGATCCTGTTCTAAACTTATAAATATTTACTAACCTATCACGTTGGAGCAGTAGCATAGTAGATAGCTTACTGAAGGTCCTCAGTACAAACAAACCAAGTTTATTGACAGCTAGTCTGAGCCCAGAAAAGAACTACAAGTCTACATTTTCAGTTGTCCAAGCACCATTCATTTTTATAGAGAAAACCATGAAATTAACATACAGTTTTTATATATTGATTTATATATTGACCAAGATCATATTTTTGCACTTTCATTGCATCCCAGGATCAATGGAAGTGCAGAAATTTTTGAAAGGACTGTCTAAGCCTAGTTCACGATGCGTTTTAAACAATCGGCTGATTTTCAAGGCATAAGAGACCACATACGTAGTATTCAACAATCGTTTTGGTCTTGCAGTTTGTGGTGCGCAGCAACTTGGCAAATACTACACACTACACACAAACTGCTTTCACTCACGAATATCTTCTGGTCAGATGGGAAATCTTGCAAGTTAAAATTTGACTTTGAAGTAAACAAACATGGTGGAGGAGGAGCGTACTGTGAGCTTCCGTCACCTCACTTTCTTATTGGCTAAGCATCACATTCAACAGGGAGCAAGTCCTTTTTTCCTTGAAAATAAGCTTCCAGGAGCAAAGTAAAAATAGCTCAGTGTTATCTTTGACCAGGACATGTCATTTAAATCCCAAATTAAACCGATTTGAAGGATTTCCTTCTTCCACCATTGGAATATTGCTAAAATTAGAAACATCCTATCCAGGAGTGATGCGGAATAACTGGTTCATGCATTTGTTACCTCAAGACTGGATTACTGTAATTTATTAGACATAACGGTCCTGCCTCAAGTGAAGGAGTTTAAGTATCTCAGGGTGTTGTTCTTGAGTGAGGGAAAAATGGAGCGTGAGATCGATAGGCGGATTGGAGCTGCATCTGCAGTGATTCGAGCATTGTACCGGTCTGTCATGGTGAAGAGAGAGCTTCGCCGAAAGGCGAAGCTCTCGATTTACCAGTTTATCTACGTTCCTACCCTCACCTCTGGTCACAAGCTTTGGTGAGAGGGAAGTCTGGGCCCCTCTGCCTAGAATGTTGCCCCCGCGACCCGACTCCAGATAAGTGGCCTAAAATGGATGGTTAAAAGTCTAATTCAAAGAGAAGACTGAAGTTATTGTTTGTAGAAATAAGAATAATAGGATGGAGGTTATTGCTCAACTTGGCTCCAGAGGAATAAAGACAAAGATCCAGATAGATTTTATGATCCTCATCCTCACATATAACACTCTTAGTAATCAAGCTCCACCACAATCTGATTGTTCCATAAGTTTCCAACAGAGCACCTTACTCTCAGACTGCAGATTTACTGGTGGTTCCTAGAATATCTAAAAATAGGATGGGAGGTTGATCTTTTAGTTATCGAGACTCCTTTCCTGTGGAACCAGCTCCCAGCTTTGGTCCATGAGGCAGACTCCGGGTCTACTTTTATGTTTATGTTATTTTATGTATTTAGCAGACGCTTTTGTCCAAAGCGACTTACAAGTGATAATCGGCATATTGCCTTTGAGGCTAACAACAACAATAACAACAACAACTTGACATCAATCATGGAGAGGAGAGAATAAGGAGTGGACAATAGAGAGGGGGGACGGATGCAGGTAGAGTGCTAGTTAAGAAGATGCTCTCTGAAGAGCAGGGTCTTCAGGAGTATCTTGAAAATTGAAAAGGAAGCTCCTGTTCTGGTAGTGCTTGGAAGGTCATTCCACATTTGTGGAACGATGCATGAGAAAAGTCTGGATTGTCCTGAGCATGGTGTAGGCACTGCTAGCCGACGATCCTGTGATGACCGGAGCGGCCGGGCCAAGACGTAAGCCTTTGCAAGAAGATTCAGGTAGATGGGAGCCGTACCATCTCGGACTTTGTATGCTAGTGTTAGCAATTTGAATTTGATGCGTGTTGCTAGCGGTAGCCAGTGGAGCTCAATGAACAGAGAGGTGACATGTGCTCTTTTTGGCTGATTGAAGACCAGACGTGCCGCTGCGTTCTGGACCATTTGAAGAGGTCTCACAGTACATGCTGGAAGACCAGTTAGAAGGGCATTGTAGTAACTGAGGTGGGAGATGACAGTAGATTGCACCAGGAGCTGGGTGGAATGTTGTGTTGGGTATGGTCTGATCTTTCGTATGTTATACAGCGCAAAGTGGCATGAACGAGCAACAGAGGCAACATGATCTTTAATGCTCAGGTGTTCATCAATCACAACACCCAGATTTCGAACTGTCTTTGAAGGAGCCAGAGATAGGAAATCATTTTGGATTGAGATATTGTGCTGTATGGATGGTTTTGCTGCGATGACAAGTAGTTCAGTTTTAGAGAGGTTGAGTTGGAGATGGTGGGATTTCATCCATTTTGATATGTCAGAGAGACAGTTTGATATTCGTGCAGAGACAGTGTGGTCGTCTGGTTGAAATGACAGACAGAGCTGGGTGTCGTCTGCATAGCAGTGGTAGGAGAAGCCATGTGATTGAATGATCTCACCCAGTGAGGTGGTGTATATGGCAAAGAGAAGAGGTCCTAGTACAGAGCCCTGGGGGACTCCTGTGGCAAGATGGTGCACGGTAGAGGATTGTCCAAGCCAAGATACACTAAATGATCGTCCTGTGAGGTATGATTCAAACCAGGCGTGTGCTTTCTATGTGATGCCCATGCTAGAGAGTGTGGACAAAAGGAAGCCATGGTTGACGGTGTCAAATGCAACTAATAACTCGAGCAGGATAAGCACTGAGGATTTGGCAGTCACTCTAGCTTCTTTCAAGGATTCCGTCACTGCTAACAGAGCAGTTTCAGTGGAGTGGCCCTTTTTGAACCCAGATTGGTAAGGGTCAAGCAGACAGTTTTGTGAGAGGTATTCTGTGATCTGCTTGAAAGCCACCATTTCAATGATTTTGGACAGAAAAGGGAGGAGAGAGATAGGTCTGTAGTTCTCCACATGATTTGGAGGAAGAGATGTTTTTTTTAGCAGTGGTTTAACCTGAGCATGCTTGAGAGAGGTGGGAAATGTACTGGATGTCAGTGATGCGTTAATCACATGTGTGACTGCTGCAGCTACTGTAGGAGCAATAGCTTGGAGCATCTTAGTCGGAATGGGGTAAAGTGGGCATGTAGTAGGGCGGCTGCACGTGAGAAGCTTGGACACACAGTTCTCAGTGATGAGGGAAAAGAGGAAAATGAAGCAGTAGGGCCTGAGATGGTTGGGCTAGAAGGAGTTTGTGGTAGCGAATGTTCAGGAGTGGCCAGCTGAGTATACTGTTTGCTTATAGCTGCCACTTTGTCAGTGAAAAATGAGGAAAAGGTGTCAGCTGATAGATTGTTGGTAGGAGGTGGAGATGGAGGGGTGAGCAGAGTTTTGAATGTTGAAAATAGTTTCTGAGAGTCAGTAGAGCTGAGAATTTTGTGTAGAAGTTTTAGTGTAGAAAGCTTTCTTTGCATCAGTGATGCTGGCAGAGAATGAGGACAGCAATTCATGAAATTTCAATTGATCACCAGGATCTTTTGTTTTGCGCCATTTCCGTTCCACAGCTCTGAGATTGGTGCGTAGAGACCGGAGGGTATCATTTAGCCAAGGGTGCGACTGAGAGGATCTAGCAGGTCTAGTGGCTAAAGGGCACAAGTTGTTAAGACAAGAGCAGAGTGTGGAGCAGAGTGACAAGGTGGCATCATTCACTTCTTAAGCAGAGAATGTGCTGGGAGATGGAAGAGTGGAGGCAACAAGAGAGGAGAAGTGGTTGGATGCCAGATTGCGGAGGTTGCGGGGGAATGAGACCATTGGGGAGGAAACAGTGGACCTACCTTGTAGAGTCGTGCTGAAATGGATGAAGTAATGATCCGAAGGATGCAGCGGTGCGACAGAGATTGTGTCTATGGCACAGTTTCTGGTGAAAATGAGGTTGAGTGCTTTTCCAGCTTTGTGAGTTGGAGGACTTTGTACTAGTTTTAAATCAAATGATGACATTAGTGACAGGAAGCCTGATGAGCTGGGATTGTCCAGGTGAATATTCATGTCTCCAAGGACCATTGTGGGACAGTCGTGCTCAGGAATGGAGGAGAGCAGGGTGTCGAGTTCATCAAGAAAGTCTGCGAGTTGACCTGGTTGTCGATATATGACAACCAAAAAAAAATTTTTTTCGGTAGTTACCTGGATGGCATGGTATTCAAAAGATTTTTATTTAGTGATGGGTAGCAACTGACTGTATATCCATTTGTTGGAAATTAACATGCCCGTTCCACCACCTTGGCCAGATGCACGTGAAGTGTGGGAGAAAGTGTGGTTAATGGAAAGAGCAGATGGAGTAGCATTGTCACACGGTTTGATCCAGGTCTCAGTGAGAGCTAGTGCATCAAGTGACTAGGTGCATTAAGACTAGGCTTAAAACATTTTTATTTGCCAGGATCTATGGTTAAAATCTGATGTTAGCCCAGGTTTGGTCAAGTGGGGGAATAGAGGGAGGTAAAGTGCACAGTGGGGAACACAGTCAGTAAGCCAATTCTCCCTTACCCTGCCTCCCACACAACTCCAGTTCCA